CAAATGTCATGGTTGGGCGGTGTGGAAGCAGCTGGGTTAGCGGTGGTGGACGGAGGGACGGTTGGGAGTTCACCGGAGGAGAAGTTGCTCCGTTTCAACATGGAGAGCGCAGAAAACGGACTAGATTCTAGTGGTTGCGGTTACCCTACCGGTGCAGCGAGATTTGGCGACCCCTGTGGTCATATATGGGTACTACACTTACTGTGTGGTTTCTGCACAGTCTTGTATATGAAGGTTATTTTATTTCAAAACTATTTGTGCATTGTAAGTGCGAATTTGAATATGTAGAGAGAGTTCCATTCTAGGTTTTGTATGTGTAGAATAAAAAAAAAATCACAAGTATTTTTTTTTTACACATGTTCAAATTTTAAGTACAAGTACAAAAATTGTGTTCTACAAGTTGCACATCAAAAGCCTCTTATATTCTCAAGTATTGCTTCAAATGGCTCAGAACTATTGTTGCAAAATTATTTGTACATTGTAAATTTGATGTTTTGTAACTGTAGATTTGTTTTAATCTGACACAAAAACAAGTTACACAAATTGTGTTCATGCAAATATCTCTACAACTTCAAATTCACACTTACAATGCAAAAAAGGTTTTGAAACAAAATTCAAGTCAATTCAGTTTATTTATATAGTGCCAATTCACAACACATGTCATCTCAAGGCACTTCACAGTTCACCAGATCATCCAGTCAAATTGATTCAGTTTTCTATCTAAGGAAAACCAGTTGATTGTATCGACTCATTGACTCGAATGCCATCCCTCACACTAAGCATGCTTGTAGCGACAGTAGAGAGGAAAAACTCCCTTTTAATAGGAAGAAACCCCCAACAAAATCTTGTTGTTAACAATATTTCAGTTCAAGGAGACCAAAGCAGTTACAAAATGCAGCTGTAAAATAACCTTCATACTTGTACGTTTTTTTACCTCATGAACTTTGCCACCGGTTATCATGTTAAAATCAGCAATTTACAGTTTTATATGACGACTTTATAAAACAGACTAACACAAATGCATGTAAAGACTTTTGAGAAAAACTTTCAAAAAAAAATTTCTTGCAAATATTTCGGGCCGATATCTTGCTGCTACGCACAGTCAAAGACTGAAATTTTGCCTATTTTAATTCACAAAGTAGTTCAACAAGGTTTGCAAAAAAAAAAAAAAAAGTTAAGTTAAGATACTATCAGAGTGATATGTTTAATCTTCACCACTGTGTTGCAGCTGTCACCTGCTGGTAAAACAACCTTTGACCTTGTTAAAATATTTTGCAGCCACATCAGAAATGTATTGTCTATATTTAGCTCTATTCATTTCTCAATCAAATCTGTCAATCTTATCTGTCATTGTTTAGAAAAACAAAACACAAAAGATAAAAAAAAATGTATCACAGTTTGATGCTTAAGATGTGTGTCTCAAAGATAATGTGCAATATTGATTGAGTTTTTTGCAAGTTACATTCTTGTCTCATCTAACCAGAGCATCTCTTAGTGTTCAATTGCAAACATGAGTTCATTCAGTGCATGACCAAAAGTTTTTTTTGTGCTAAATAAAAGACCTTAGCTATGCAGGTCTTTAATTTTTTATCTAACTGTTGCTTATTTCTGTCTTATTTCCCTTAACCCCTCAGGGTGAAAGGAGTAAGAATGTTTATAATGAATAATAAAGACAAACCCCACATCAGATGAATATATATATAATGCACTGGTTTGTTCTGAAGGGACAAGAAGGCAGAAAGGCACAATTCATTGGGTATTTTCAGTGAGCCCTTACATACCATTCTGTAAAAAAGAAATCACCATAATCAAATATGGAGAGGATGGTTATTTAAGTGTTAGTTTTGCAGAGCATTTTATAGCAAAGCTGTTTTTATTATTTAACCTTAGCCTGTAATTTCCCAGTGTGGTTTGAAAAAGATAGACTGTTATCTTGCCAGATTTCCAACTGTTTACACTCAGAAACATGCTCTAGAATTTCCATCAGGAGTTTAGATTGAGGGCACAGAGTCTCTTTTTTACCCAAAAACGTGACTTTGGGTTTGACGCTGGTTGACTGTGGATGTAACTTTAAGATCAATGTAGGATAAATCCAGTTTAGAAGTTATTTTAGGGCTAAAAACAAATACCACTAAGCTGTTCATTGAGACAAGGCTCTTATTAACCTGCTTTTTATAGACTGAAAAGTGACATGTGAAATTTTCAAAGCTTGATATATTTGTCTGTGGTCAAACCTTACTTCAAACCTCTTCTTAACTCTATGACTGGTGTAGTATGTTCCTTCATCTTCCTTTTTTTTTTTTAACCTTATAGAATCTAGATATTTTTTGATAGATGTTATATAGAACTGCAGGTCCATAGATTAGGTGTTGCTCCACAGCCTAGACCAGGAGATATTTTAAATCTTACATAGTGTTGTGATCTTTCTTTTAAGGCTAAAAGTTAAATATCTATACCTTTCCAGCCTAGAGGCCAATGGAAACTTTCTGCTGTGTCATTACATACTTTTTTTTTTCTCACGGTAGGAGAATGTCATGGATCCATAAAATAAATAATCATTTAATCAGGCTTTTGTTACATTGACTTTAAAGGGATTGTAATATGCTGAGGGGAATATTACACGGCTAAAATTTTAATAGTTACTAGTTAATGCACAATATATCGTAATAATTGAATAAAGCATAGGAATAATGTAAGCAAAGGCAAAAAAAACTTTAGTGTCAAAAATTAAAATTCTCAAAATTTATGAGAGATATAACGTTAAGTAGGTTGTTTTTCATAATGTACTAGGAAATAAAAATATATATTTTTTTAAAGGCTGATTTAATTGTAATTAAGCCTAAAATAATCAATGGATTGTCTTACCACAGCGGAATAAATAAGTACATCTATTTTTAGATCGAGAGCGAGATCAAACAAGCCTGGCATGGAGGAGATTGATGGGAGATTGAGGAGTGGGTTCCTTGATGGTATAGTGTCCACAGAAGGTCTGGGTATTAGTTTGTTGTGGGCTCATCATGTTTTAGGTCTTTGTGAAAAGCTTTTTATCCTGAAAGAATGGGAACAGAAGGTTAATGTTTATATCTGTGCTGAGTGCATTTAGTCCACTGTAACTTGAATGCTGCAGAGACGTGTTAGGTCATCCTCCTCAGCAGCATCTTTTGGTTATTCATCTTTCCTTTAGATTTAATAGATCCAAACACTGGTAAAGATTTACATAGAAATATAGAGTAACTTTTCTTTCAGAGGCGCACTCGCACCCCCTTTGAATTATTCACATTTTCTCCTGTGTTAATTAAACACAAACTCCAGTATATAAAAGTATGTAAAGTGTGGCATACACATGTATTCAGATCCCCTCTTTTAGAGCCTGCTGCTTGAAATGTTAGAATAATTAATTAACATTCAAGACTGGCTGACTTGATTTAATATCAGTGAGATCCAGGTCAGCATTTTAGAAACTCAGACTTCTGGCTATCACTTTTTTTTGTGTGTGTGTGTTCCTAAATTAGGTTGTTGTCGATCGTGAAGCAGTTGCACCCTTTCTTGCCTGCATACTTTGACTCTTCCTATAGGTATAGTGGAGGATGTTCTTTTTTTGGGTGGATCATCAAAATAGGTTTTCCTTCTCATTGTCAATCATTCTTGTAATATGTTTACATAAGGCCATCCTACGTTCTCATGCCCATTTTCACTTACCAGTGGTGAGTTTGACATAGTGGAAAAATAGCAAATCTTCTTTTGGAAAGTAAAGCTTGTATGAGCGATAAAAACAGAAACTTTTAGACAGAGTGTGCACGAGAAGAAATGGGCTCATATATGCTCTGCCACATGTTTAATAGGCATTCACTCCCAGGAGCGGGTAAAGGGTAGTGCATGTGCATTTTTTTTTAAGTGGAGAGGGCAGGTCTTTTCAAAAATTATTGAAAATCCTCCTCTATACCTCTAAGATTAGCTTCCTATCAAGGCCTGCAGGACCTGCAGCACAGTGGCCTCCTTCAGGCATTTGTTCCTAAGGACTGATTTTATCTCTGTCTCCCTTGTCTGTGTTGTTGATGACGTCTTCTGCTGTGTGAGAGTATAAAAGTTATAGAATTTGATAATGCCACTATGATTATCTCCATTGATCTCCTTCATATAATATTAATTAATCAAAATCATCACAAAGACCAAGGAACAGATCAGACAGATCAGACCTGTGGCTGTGGTATGGGAATATCAAAAAGTTAGCATATGTATATTGAAGTCACCCAAACACAGAAAAAGAATGCCACAAATGAAGCGCTATAAAGACGTTGCAGTGTGCCTAAACTGAAAGACCTACAGTAGCAAGAAAAGCATTTATAGGGGAGCAGCCAAGATGGCCATGGTAACTCTGGAGGAGCTGAAGAGATCTACGACTGAGAAAATAGGTCAACATGACGGTCTTTTTTGTCCACAAGTCTGATCTTTACTGGAGAGTAACAAGAATAAAGACATGAAAAAAACAACATGGACTTCTCATTTTATCAGATGACACCAAAGGTTTGGTGATAAACTAACATTACTCTTCCTTTGAGCTAGAAATAAGGAAGTTTTGAATGGTAATTTGGCACTCAAAATTCACCTTCATACAGCATGACCCATTGGGTTACAGCTGAATGGTTAAAAGTAAAGCATTTTAATTTGTTTGAATGGCCTAGTCAAAGCCCAGACCTTCATATTATTTAGAATCCTTCATTTCAATTAAAATTTAGCTCTTTTCTACTTTAGAACAGGCTAAATGTTCTGTTCTGGATGTGCAAAGCTAATGCAGACAGCCCCCAAAACAATCCATGTTGTGATTAGAGTAATAAACATTTTAAACTTCCTCCTACTTATAAAAATAAGCCCTATTTTATAAGATGCATGTGTTTTATTTAACTGTAAATATTTGTGCAAGGAACTCAATATTAACTTGTAAAATCTAAAAAAAAAGAAGCAATAAAATGTGGAGAAAATTATTTAACACCAAGATGAGATTTTAGCAAGACAGTTAAGCTTTATTAGCACTGAAGTGGGCAAATATTCCTGAAGAGTGACATTAATATCTTTAATCCCATTTCATATTATAAACTAGATTATTTTACATAATTGCATTGAACCAGCAAGCATCTCATACAGCATTTTTAATAACATCCTAAAACATTTACTACTTTATATTCCTGTATCTCATTAAAACATAAGTGCTTGTATTCCAACTGTACACATACACACACAAAGGCAAAAGCAAAAGTTTCTCAATCAAACGTACCTGGCTCATGGAAAGTTTTGCCCTTTAGAAGATAAAAAAAAGAAGGTTGTGCTTCTCTGGTGACTATAACAACACAGGAAGTGAATAATCATTGTATAAAAGCTGTCACAGGAAGTGACATAATTTTAAACATTGTCTAAGGAATGTACAGCATCAAAATAAACAAAAAAAACAAGATAACTGAAATAATATCTAAATTAATACAAAATGGTGCATTCTAGATTTTTAACACAATAACAGCCAGTAAAAAGCTCTTCTTGGTAAAGTTTCCTGAGATGAAATGATAAATTAAAAGCAAGACATTCCATTACAAGAAAAAAACTGGCCAGAATGTATCATAAACTACTTGAAGAAAAACCACCTATGATAAAGATGGACAGTGTGGGACAAATGCATTAATGCATCCAGTGCATTCGTCAAATAGCAGTGCATAAAAAATAGAAATAATAACAAATAAGCTCCTTCATTAAAGCACATTGCACAGTTCATATTGGCTTACAGTTAGTCAAGCAAGAAGAGAATAATTTAAAATTCCTTTACAATTTCATGTAATCCCTGTTTATCTGTTACAAAAGTAAGACAAGAGTGCCCCCTACTGTTAAATAAAGCATATAGGCTGCTTCAAGGCACATAACTGTTTTTATACAAGTCGAAAGTTTATCTAAAAACACCAGAAAAGTATATAAAAACACTACCTGAGCAAAATTAAAATCATTGAGTCATATACAGCAGGAAGTCATTTCAATTGTGCAGTAAAATAATATGCAGGTATGAGCAAATTTAAGGCAGAGGCATGTATCGATGTTGTGGTTTCCTCTATTATTGAAAAGTAAAGATGACAATGAAGGGTTTGAAAAAATTGAAGGGTGGTGGTTCCAATAATGGCGTGACTGCAATCAACACACCACATTTAATTAGAAGTGTTCCCTTTAAACCTAATGCTCATTTTTTAAAATCAAACTCAAAAAGAGCAGTCTAATATCCTGATTTTGGTTCGACGTTCTCATAAATTGAGATGGCAGCTGTGTTCTGGTAGATCAGATCCACGTTGTTCCCTGTTCTTGCACGGATGATGTCCAAGGCACACTGGTTTAAGAAAACATACTGTTCCTGCAGCAATTACCAAAAAGACAACAACAAAGGGTTTAGGATTTGAAAAACAAATAAAAGAGGAAACAGGTTGGCCATGTGAGCTTCCTACCTCTGTCTGCACCATGAGGGGTCGGTGCATTCGCAGATCGTGAACAATGCCGTACACATCTACAATATTTTCCCTTTCAATCTGGAAAATCAAACGATCGATGGCTATGAAGGTGCCTGTGCGTCCAACACCGGCGCTGAGAGTAAAAAAAACACAAAGAAAAAAGCAGAAAATGAGCAGCGATAACAGATCATTTTATGACTTTTCATGTAATGGAATGAAAAAGCTGGTGAATTTGTCAGGATTGCTCTGTCAGACCTGCAGTGAACCACTGTGGGGGAATTTCTGGAGTACTGGTTCATATGCTCTCGGACCAAATGTCTGAAGCTGATCAGAAGCTCTGTGGTTTCTGGAACACCGTGATCCGGCCAAGCGGTGAAATGGAAGTGACGGACCGAGCGGACTTCTGCTGTTTTCACCTGGGGGGGGCAGGACAGCATTTAAATGGCAGAAAACCCTAAACTCCCCTCTGAGACTCCATCCTTAAGAAAACACTGCATATGAACTTTTATTGGATACTGTTTGACTAACAATGGAATGACTGATATGGTGCTGATTTAAGCTGTGTCGCTTTTCTAACTAACATTTTTTATGTCAAAGTCCCTGATGGTCCAGTCTTCAAGTGGAATTTCAGATGTTGTTGTCACAATGATGTCTTCACAGTATTTGGTCCCAGGACTCCAGTACTGCTCACATTTAACCTGAAAACAAACAAACAATTTTGTGATTAATTTTTTATTCCGAAACTTTGATCATTGTTACATTGCGATTCAGCTGATGCAGGTTTCATACAGTAGATGCATCTTTCCTTAGATATTTTTACTCAAGTTAAATGTTTTAGCTAAACACATCAAAGCTAAATATTCATGTGCTTCTATCAAACCTTTGAGTTTTCAATAGTTACTTAATCTCATCTATTTCAAAATATGCTAAATACAGAATAGATCATTTGATAACTGAGGGTTTAATTGTATTTATATATATATTTTTTATTAAGATATGAATTTCAGTGAAAAGAGCCATTTTACTTTGGGTAAAGCTTATATCTGTAAAACCTTAATAACATCATTGTTTAAATTACCACTTATATGTTTCTCAAAACTAATACTTGAGTAAAAGTATGGATACTCATAGTCAAATCTTACTCAACTACATGTAAAAGTTATCCACTCAAACATCTACTCAAGTTCAAGTATTGAAGTACTCGCTTTTGAAAATACTCAAAAGTACATGGATTTAAAAGTATTTAAGTATTCAGGAATACTAATAAAATTTTCTAAAATCAGTACATTTTTGTTTAATTTTCAGTTTAATTTTCATAGTAATTTTAAAGAACCTTGTAACTTTCAGAAAGCACCTTTCAGATGTTTGAGCAACTCTGCTACAAATTCTTCACCATCTGTAGAGAACCTCAGCATCAAAATGCCAGCTAAGGACAGCTATTTTGATTATTACCTCTTATTTAAAAACAAAGCAAAAACAACTGAGACAACTTTTTATTGTTAATGAAAATATTGTTAACAACAAGATTCTGCTGGAGGTTTCTTCCTGTTAAAGGGAGTTTTTCCTCTCCACTGTCGCTACAAGCATGCTTAGTGTGAGGGATTGCATCCAAGTCAATGAGTCGATGCAATCAACTGGTTTTCCTTAGATAGAAAACTTTTAATCAATTTGACTCTATTATCTGGTGAACTGTAAAGTGCCTTGAGATGACATGTGTTGTGAATTGGCGGTATAGAAATAAACTGAATTGAAATTTTTATTTAGCATAGCTTTTCAGACAGGAACTGAACGTCTCCATCCCATAAAGTGCAGCAGTGATCAGTGTGAGAGAAAAAAAAAACAAGGTGCAAAAAGCATTGATAAGGAAGTTCAGAGCAAAACAGGATTGTTTTGATTCTCCTCACACTTTGATTATGGAATAGAGGTTTGAGGTTGAATCTATTACCACAAAGAACCTGAAACTCATCCTACTGAACAACTTGTTCACATGGCAACCACTAACACCCTAATTAAAAGTGTAATGTAAAAATAATATCTGCCCTGATTTTCTCTCATCTGTGGAACATCATGGAAATCCCCAATCAGTGCTGTCCGAATTCAATCTCAAGGGCTGCTATCTGCCATGTTGAAATTGAATTTAAAAAGTAACAAGTAACTAGCAGCTTCCTTGAAATGTATTGGAGTGAAAGTTATAAGTAGCCACCCCAAAAAATTATTTAGGTTAACTAAAGATACAAAAAAATATTACTTAAGTGCAGTAATGTTCATACTCACCCTTCCTTGTTCATTACAGCGTGTAAGCATGACCAGAGTCTGCACGTTCTTCTCCCAGATCATCCTCCAAAACTCGTTGACTGTTGCGGGTAAAGGTCCCTGAGCTGCGATGTATTCCTTCCGGGAGAGATAACCCTGACACCCAACAAAAAAAACTTAATGTAAATCAATCGTAAAGTTCAGTTTTTATGATCGTTTTGAACTGGAGCAGTAATATAGGTTTGGTTCATTGTCATCCAATGAAGCAGAAGATATGAGTCGTACCGTTCCAGAAGATGCTTTAAAGTTACTGAAGCAATGATAAAAAGCAATGGTAAACAGTGTCAGCACGCACCGGCATATAGTTAGCATTGATGTAATCTTCATTTGGACTTCCATGGACAACAGAGAGTTTCACCCTTGAGGAGTCATCTAGGAGGTGATAAGTTTGTAAATGAAATATGAATGATTTGTTTACAGCTGGAAATGAAGGTGTTAGATGAAAAATGCCCTATTAAAGCAACGAAATTCAGCAATTGCATGTGTTACAGCAAACCGATTATAGCTGGATGGATTTGTGTTCAAAATAGATAAAGAACTTTAAAAGTGACTTACAAGGAAGCACGTTGTTGTAGCGATTTTTAGGCTTGTTCTCCGGATCCAGGGCATGCACCTTAGCCTGACTAGTACCAACAGGCCTTAGGTCCTTCAGAATAAAAAAACTTGCTTTACTTAGTGAAAGTGTAGCTGAAGAGGAAATAAAAATGCTTAATCTAACATTATTATAGATTACATCTTGACTTTATTCATTAGGAAATCCTGTCTATATGTCTGTATAAATACGGGAACATATCTATTTACTATAGATCTATTATAGATCTGAAGTAATGCTTTAAAAATAAAAAAAAAATTAGTTGCACAAATCTGAGAACCTGTCTCTTTTTAGCTGTGGCCAAAACATAAACAAGGACATCTTTGATAAAGTTGTTGAGAATAAAACCCCAAGAAATCCACTAGCAGTAAAACCTTATTTTGCTTATTTGTTTACTCTGTGATGCTTTTTATTTTTTATTTTTAGCTAACCTCTTTTTAGGACGAGAAAAAACTTTAATAATGCAACAATCTTCAGTAAAAAAAACCCAAAAAACATTTTCTTCTCTATACTCTGAGAATAAGTTGCTTAATTTGAAAAAACAAAACAATTTCCGTCTTTTTAGTCTTTTTATATAGTAAAGTAATTTAAATAACTCAATACTCATGTCATCTATTAGATGGTCCTGTCTTTAATCAAAGTTAGAACTGTAAACATTTGAGAATGCTTATATTGATTTTAGGAAAGAAATAAAGAAAATATCACTGATGTTTGAAACGATTGAGGATCATTTCCTTTACCACATTTAGGTTAATATAAAAAAATGCAAATATATAAAAAATGTATTGATTTGTCACAGATTGGTGTAAGTAAGGGAATTGACAAATTGGCAATCTTAAAGAATTTACAGGTTTTACCTCAAATTCTTCAGCAAAGCCACAGCTGGAGTCCGCTCTCTGCTTCTTATAGTAGGCTTCAAAGTCCTCCACCCTCACAGCAACACTTCTGCTCATACAGACAGCATATTAGGGGGAGGATTCATTTTGCCCAAAAAAAACAGCAAATATTTGTTTTGTTTTTTCATAATTTATTCATTTAAATGCTTTATACTTACACTTTACCCCTAAGGAAATAAAGAAAATGTAATAATTACCAAAAACATTATGGACCTTTAGTAGAAAATCATTTGGTAGATGCTAAAAATCTCACCCCATTGTTAGAATCTGGATGTCAGGAGACTCCTTACGAGACAACCTTCAGTACATCACATATAAGCAAAACAATATTAAGCATCAGGGTGTTATTACTATCTAAATATGAGCTTTTATTGGTCTGAAGAATAAAAACCTTCTCCAATAGATGACAAAACCAATGAGGATGATAAAGAGAAATCCAAAGATTCCCAATGTTACTCCAATAGCGATTCCAGTGGTGACTGAAATACATTAAAACAAATTAAAGGTTAATTCCAGAACATAAGCAACAGAAAAAAGAAGAAAGAAAACAAGTACATAAAAGTCCCATTCTGATTCTTTTAACTATACCTGGGTCTTTGTTAAGAGCAACGACCTCAGAAAATTGTGTAAAAGAAACCACTGATTTGGTACTATCAATAAGTCCTGAATCCGTGACCAGATGGGTGAAAATCACAACAGCATATCTGTGAAGAAAAAAAAATTTTTTTTTAATGAATTGTGTATCTCAAAAGTGTTTACTTTTTCTATCTGCACTATATGCTTCGATTTCAGTGTATTTTAAAAATGCCTTATAAAGAGTTTATAAGTTAAAAAATAATCAGTCATTCCAATAAATTCTGGGGCCTAAAATGACTCTGAATGCCGCAAACAATAAGTATGATCATTTTGGCTCCTTACTTGATGTAAAAAGCTAAAAACTATGGAGGACAAATCCTGCCATAACTAAAAATAAATACAGAAATAAATAAATGCTCTAAAAATAAATAAGCTTATAATTAATTGCCCAGAAAAACTACAATAAACAAATAAATGTAGGTAGAAATTAAATTATACGGTGAGACATATATATATATATATATATATATATATATATATATATATATATATATATATATATATATATATATATATATATATATATATATATATATATATATATATCTTTTAGCTTCTTTGTTTATTTGCCTTTCTGATAATTACCTTATATATTTATTGTCCGTTGTATTCTTTAACTTTTTCATTGATTACTTATTTCCTTAAGTATTTATTTATGTGCATGTTATAATATTTTTGTCCGGTTTATTCTTCCTTTGTATTTTTTTTACCCTATTTATTTCTTCCATGCTATTTACATGGCTACCTACGATGAAGTGGTTAGTGAGCTGAGACATTTAGCAACTGGTTTTGAAAACATTTCTAATATTTGGGTTTCTGAAAAGGAGGACGGAGCGACCCGATGACGGCATGCTTCCAACCGCGGGCCTTACAGGTCCCCCCCCCTACCTGCGCGGTGTGCACGAGGAGAAATGGGCTTGTGCATGCTCTTGCACGTATTTAATAGCCGTTCCCTCTCGGGAGCGGGTACTGGGTTGTGCATGTCCATTTTAGGGCAAGTAGATAGGGCGGGTCTTTTCAAAAATTCGCAAAATTCCTCCACTATACCTTTAAATTGTGCACATTCAACATTCTGGATTTTACAAAACCCTCATCAAAGGTGGCCTAGAGGCACAGTTAAGCAGATATATTTGTTTTTTAAATAAGGATGTGAAACTATTCAATATATTAGATAAAACTAAACTTGTTTCAGGTCTAGCATTTCCTTTAGTAATTCAGACTTTTTTTTTTTCCAATAAAATACATTTCTGAAAGCTGTCTGTTTTATTTTCAGCATGTTTTGTTTCCTATTACCTGTAAGTTCCGCTTGGATCCAGTAAACCATTATGATAGTTCTCCCACTTCGAGTCGGTTCCTACTAGGAGTTCCAGGTCACTACTGCTGCGTGTCTGTAGGTTGTAATTTGCTACTGTAGCCAGGTATGCTTGGGTCGACTCGGATCTCCACTGTTCGTACGTCTTCCCCAAGTAATTTTCAAGATTAGATTGGATGTCTGGAAAACAAAATATACAGTTAATAAGGGAACCTTACCATATTTTCAGATTCTATTTTCTTGCTGATCAAAACAGAGCAAGCCAGAGTAAATCTTGATGTTAGGAAGGAAAGAAAAAAAAAAAACCTACCCTTATCATCACTTGTAACAATAACCCCAACATGTGTCACTGGTCCCATAGTGTTGTCCATATGTTGGGAGCTGATGCGAAGCGTGAATGTTTTGTGAGTTTTACTTAAGGTTACATGTGTCAAAAAGTCCTTTTGAATGGGTGGCTCTTTATAAAGATGAAAGAGAGGAATATTGAAATAATTTATCAAACTCAAAGTGAATAATATCAGCTAAAGATGAACAAAATTAAATATAAATAGAGATATCAATTAAATATAAATAGAGCTGCAGTTCTATTGGAACACATTATTGACATACAATAAATACCCAATGATTCAGTACTCAAAAAAACCCACAACTTACTTCCAACGCCTGTGGAACATTCAATAGACTTAGGAGTGCTGGGTTTTCCACAGCTCTGACTCTCCACAGTTAAGGTATAGTTAGAGTAGTGAGCAAGATTTGCAAAGACGTGAGAGCAGCAGTTGTCACTCGAGTGGGGGTTTTGAGAACTGTTGGATATGGTTAACTGGAAGCCAGAGCTCATTCCATCAGGCTTGGTCCAGTTCAGAGTGATTTCTGCTTTTCCAGGTGTTGCTCTTTCACATGTTAAATCCTTCACAGGGCTTGCATCTGAAGTCATAGGGCAGATATAAATGAGGTAAACCATTGTGTTACTATTTTAATATGTGTGTTACAATATTGTTTTAGTTAAGTTGTCAAAAAGTTCTTTAGGATAATTAAAAATGTTGATTTGGGAAAAATAAAGAAATCTATCATCAAATGAACGTAACCACATATTGGGATGCTCTGATCTTACTTGTGCAGTTGGAAATTTCTTCTGTGGCAGACAGTGCTCCATCGGAGGTCTTGGTGGTGACGGTAATTTTGTATTCAGTACCAGGCGTGAGTTCAGTGATTTTATATTTATCATCAGTGATGGTGATATTTTTAACATTCCCATCAGAGCTTTGCCAGGTCAGAAAAAAGAAATAGGTGTCCTTATACTCGTCAGGTTTTTTCCAGCTTACATTAATACTCTTCTCTTCAGTGATGGTGCTGAGAGATATCACATTGTAGGGTTCTGGAGGTTAAACAGACAGGTGAGACATTTTACAGTTAGTCCAGACACTACACTTACTATTCCTGCTTGTTATACTGTACGTAAACATGAATTTTCTATGGATCAAAGTAGTGGGTAGACACATGCATAGGTGACAATCTGAACCTTTCTGTTGTAGCTCTGACTGGATGTTAATTCAGTTCAGTTTTATTCATATGGCTTCAATTCAAAACACGGCATCTCAAGTTACCTTACAGAGACTATTCAGTCAATTCCTACTAGCAGATTGGTCACAAGCTTTCTATGTAAGGACACCCGGCTGATTGCATTGAGTCATCGACTTTCCAGGATTCCTTCAACCTGGATGAGCGACAGTGGATGTTCACCTGAAATGTGTCGCTGACTCTGCATCAATCACTCATTTGCAGCCTCTGAAGTGTCCGAAGATGAATCCTCACAGCATGATGCTGCCCCCACTCTGTTTTACTAAAGTGGTGGCTTGTTCAGGATTTCATTTCATTTCATATGTCACCTATATGGTTTCTCCTACCTAAGCATCAAATGCTGAAGCTATTCCAATTACCATGGGCATCATGGTTGATTGCCCAATTAATTTAGTCCTTGTGCAGTGCCCTCTTTATGTTACTCGTTTGTTTTTCTATGATTAAACGATTCTCTGTGAGATCGGCACATCTCAGGGTATTTCTTTATAACCTAACAATGATGTAAACACCTCCACACCTTTATCACTGGTTTGCAGTGATTTTTTTGTTTCGTTTATTTTTCTTCTTTCTGATGGAGTTTGTTGGCCAATTTTCTTTAAGAAACCTCTGAAACCTCTGATAATAAAATTACAGAAGGGTGAGCTCTGTTAAGTAAACTGGGGATTTCTGAGGCCAAAAGTTATACTACATTTCGTTCACATAGCGGCCAAAAATAAAATAAATATAAATATTTTGGGGATTTTTCAGATTTAAATTATGCACTTCACTATAATGCAATACAGAATCAAATCAAAATAAAATACAGGGAGCTTGCGGCTGTAAAGGATAGTAAAAAAAGGCAGGTAGTATAGGATAATAAAATTCTTACTTGTGGTAACCATGTTTCTGTAAACAGATTCACTCTCAAAACCCAGCGGTCCGACAGTTTTCACAGAAATGTTGTAGGAGGTCCCAGACAGCAGCTGGGATAAAGTGTAATTCGTCTTGGCAGAAGACACTATTATATCTGGCTGAGAGGAGTTGTAGGTCAGCTTGTAACTGTAGTTGGATTCCAGACTCATCATAGGTGCTTCTCCCCAACGCATTTCAACAGAGTTAGTTGTTGTCCTCAGGATTTCAATTGGCCCCGGAGGAGTTGGGTCTGCAAGGACACAGTCCATCACATTCGAATCAAAAAGGTTATATTTGATCAAATTAAATATCTATATTTGTAAATTACTGTCCAACCATCTCATACATTTAAGGTTTCCTTCAAACATAGAGGTTATGAATATGCATTTAGCTACATGCAGCTCATTGATGGAGGATATTGTCAGAAATTGGAAGGAGAACTTTAAGGACCTCATTAGTCTGACCACCATGTCCTCAGTACAAAAATCAACATATGAGGATGAGGTTGATTAAGTGGTTAAAACACTCCCCAAACACTGGGGCCCTTTGAGATGATAAGATAGCGCTGAGGTTATAGTACTTCTACAAAAAAGGACATCAAAAGGATTGACAGGAAGTGGTTCGTCAATCTGATTAGGATGCCTCCTGAGGTCTACTTTCATCCCCCAGAATGAAATAACGTCCTCAGCCAATGTAAAGGTTCTTTTAAAAGAACATAATTTTTTACAGAAATATCAACGGGCAACATTCAGCTGTAATAATAATTACCATGTTTTACTGTGAAATTTGTCATATTTATTTGAAATAACTGATATATGAGGAGGTAAAATTAAGGCAAATTATTTTCTTTTCGAGACTCGTCTTGCAAGCTTTAATTGCATTTTAAAAATAACAAAAAAAACTTTAGTAACAAAAGCTTTTTATAATAAAGCATATGCTACTCACAAGTTGCATTTGTAACCGTTTGAGAAGGTTGACAGACTTGTCCACTGCATGATAACAATTCCGCCTTGTAAAGCACTGCGGCTGACAGGTTGGTATACAGGAAGGATGTGTTGGTAGAGTTGAGCCATTTTGTAGGATACACTGTAGAAGAGCTGTTTAGGATAAGCTCGTAATGCTCCACATTTCCTGTGGGTTTGGTCCATACTACCAGGAGGGAATTGTTGGATCCCTCATTGAGGATGGTGAGATGTGCTTTCTCAGGTTCTGTTGTGCAGAAATATAAGAAGAAAATGAAAGTCTACAATGACAAAAAAAAAAATAAAAAATCAATGAGGGAAAGAAAGTCTTACTGGTGTACTGAGAGGTGCAGATTTCGTCTCCTCTAATGTCAGTCGGTGTCATGATAGTAACACAGAAAGTGCATTCGGTTCCAGGGGTGAGGTTTGAGAAGGTTTTGTTTACAACTGGTGATTGAATGGTTTGGTTTCCACAGCCCGTCGTCTGCACCAAATATTCTAGGTCGGGCCTGTTCTCATATGGTGTTTCCCAGGTAAGGTGAACAGCAGTTGTGTTTAAGGTTAAAGCTTTAAAATTGGTGATATTTAAAGGTTCTGAAACAAACATACGAGTTGTTACTTTTTCAAGATAAAACAATTACAATACATGTTTAAACAAAAATATATAGTTTTTATTGCCTAGCTATGTCGCATTTACTTATACAGTATGAAATTAAGAAAGATTGTTTTGTTTTTTTTGTCAGCAAAGATACAGTTAAAAATAGAAAACGAGGAGGAGAGTAAGTCTTACTGGTGTACTGAGAAATGCAATTTCTTTCCCCTTTAATGCCATCAGGTGCCACGATAGAAACACTAAAATTGCAACGGGTTCCATGGGCGAGCGCTGTGACTTCTAAGCTTATTTCTTTTGATGTAATATTTTGGTCTCCACAGCCTGTCGTCTCCACCAAATATTCTAGATCATTTCTGTTCTCATACGGTGTTTCCCAACGTAGTTGAATAGCAGTTGTGTTTATGGTTTTAGCCGTTAAATTTGTGATACTTAAAGGTCCTGAAAAAGAAAAGATGAGATGTTAGCATTGGCAGGAAAACAACAACAACAATACATATTTGAGCAAAACCTTCATTTTCTTTACTGCTAAATTATGTTGTTGAACATACTTGTATATTTGGAAATTGTCACAGACTCTGCCCGGGTGTCATCTGGTGTGAGTGTTGTCACAGTAAAGCTGTAGTTCCACGCAGACTCAAGATTTCCAAATGTGTAATTCTTTTTCAATGTAATGTTCACCATTTTTGAAAGAAGGACAACACTATCAGCCTGCACTTCATAAGAATAGTTTGTTTCGCTCTCAGACTGATTCCACATCAGTGTCACTAAACTAGTGGTGATCTCTGCTGCCTTCAGATCTGTCACTGCATGTGGCTCTAAAGAATTAAGCAAAGGTGAAGAGAAAGGAAACATGTTTTAATGGATTTTTATGGTTGGTTACAAAAGAGGTTAAAATCAATCAGCTACAGCAAAATTATAAAAAGTATGTGACTTTGTTTCACTTGATACCCTTTATAGTACGATTTATAACCGAATGTTACGTAAGAAAATGCTTTACTCTCAGTTTTCCTATTTATATTTTCCAATAAGATGTTTTTAAATTTTTAAGATAGTCTTTTAGCACAAAAAACAACAACAAATTAACTGAATCTGATTTCCAAAATCATCAGGCAGCCATGTTGGACAACTATATTTTCCTACACTTTTGAATGTCTGACCGACCCCCTAAGTGGAATATTTCCAAATTTATAGAACAGGTAAATATGTCAGGATCTTGGGTTATTTTTGGGTTTGATTCTAGTTTTGATTATTGCTGTCTTGTATTTCCCTTTTTCTATTTTTGATTAGTTTGGGCCTTTTCATAGTTATAGGTATGGGATAAGGTATGCAAAGCCACACCTTATCCCTTAAATTCAAACAATCAAGCCACTCTGTTTAAATTCATCATATTTTCCTAACTTTCCAAATGGGAAAATAAATATTTATGGCATATACTTGATAATAAATGTATGGTTTAATAATTAATGTATGGCTTAATAATTAATCTGTTGGTATAACTTATTCTATTCGATAATTATTAATAAGGACCCTGTATAGAAGAAAATACCACATTTAGTAAAAGTGATCCTCAATAAAATACGTTTTAAATTTATTAAATTGCCCATTTCTCCAACAGTAAAAGAAACCCCATTTAAAACCAATTAAATGGATTTTGCTAATAAATTTCAAAAATTAGATTTAAAGTTCAAGTAGATTAATTATGTTAAACTAAAGAGGAAACAATTTTCGGTATTTCCCATGTCTGTCCTCTAAAACATTCTTCTCTTAATTTAAATAGTTGGTGATCACGACTAATAACATTTCAAGTTTTGACTAGTCTAATTTGGTCCATTTTATACATTTATAGTCTGTATATATCAAAACAATAAAAAAAGAAACTAAGTAAAGGCATGTCCTATTGGGAGGAGGCCTTGAGGAAGGCCCAGGGACTAAGTCTCTGAGCTGGCCTGGAGACACCTTGGGGTCCCCCAAAACTTAATTAATTCCACAATGAAAGGTCCTCTTTGAAATAGTTTTATCTGACCTTATACATTTGATTTAAGAAAGGGGCAAATGTTTGATTTTATGTCACCCTGTGGCAGAGCTTCAGCTAACGCACATGGGGCATCAGCGTGTTGCCATGGCAACAACTGCTTTCTTTTTCCGCTAGAGGGAAGAGGCCATCCATTCCCGTTTATGCCTCCCACCTTTAATCAAGGGGCTTTCGTAAGCTGCGAGTGTCACTCACTTTATTGCGAGTGAGACTTGGTAATTATTAGTTGCTGGTTAGGGGCTGTTTGGGATGCAACCTTCATAAAGGGGCTTAGGGTATGGGTGATTATTGGGACTGGGCCTCTCTCTCCTCAGTCTCCCTTTGTTATCTCCTCTCACACCTGCAAATTATCAACTAATCAGGCCAGGTCTACTGTTTGTCCATTTACACTCCCAGTATTTAAACTCCTATTTTGCTCCCACTCCCTACTTTGTTTTCTGTTCAACATTTTTTCATTAAAAGCTAAAGATGTCTTCCTGCCCCTGCTTCCCTTCATCTTGGTCCAAAACAATACTGCAGCGTGACAGAATAGGCAAAATACTGCATGAATCATTTAAGTTACTACAATATTTCAGTTTGTTTATATGTCCTCGCAGTGCAAGTGGTGAGCCATAACCACCCACATCAAAAAGCAGGCTTGACTAAAACTGTATTGTAAAACTTAATGCCATTAAATTCCTATTCTAACAACTTAAAATTGCATTTATAATTAGATTTTAAAAAAAAATCTATATGAACAAAACCAAAAATAAAAACTTAATGACAGTTTAACATAGAGGTGCCTGTAATTAAAGCCATTTTATTTACAGTACTGAGCCCTGATAGTAGTGGTTGGCTGTGTTTACTCACTTGTATAGTTTTGTGTCGTCTGTGCAGTACTCTCATAACCCATTACACCAACAGTAACCACAGACACTTCGTAAATGGTTCCTGATGCAAGGTTTTCCAGTTCAAACCAGTTGTTTGAAGTTGAGTGGGATCCACTGAGAGAGGTCACAGTGAAGTTGTACTGAGCATGGTCCATGTCAGCTGGAAGCGACCAGGTCAGGTTGATGAAGTTGATGCCCTTGGAGTCCACCATGATGGTGCCAGGGGGGGTAGGAACTAAGGAGAGGAATAAATCAAGTTGTATACAGTATTAAAAAAAAGATTGATGTTAGGAAAAAACAAACAAAAAACAAACAATCATAGTTTCAACATTCAAGATACTCACAAGTTGCATTGGAAACTATTGCTTCTTTACTCTCCTTAGATCCACTTTTTGTTATCACCTTAACATCGTAAATCACTCCTGGTTTTAAATTAGGAAAAAGGTGATGAGTCTCATTCTTCTCTGCCTTGTCCACTAAGGCTTTTTCATTGTAAAGTTCTATAATGTAGGATGAAACTCCTCCATGTGGTTTTATCCAGTTCACTGACATGCTGTTGGTGGTTCCTATGGCTGACATGTCTGTGACCATCCCGGGAACTGAAAGAAAAAATGATAAACTTGACCGGCTTGCAGGCAAGACTAAAAAACATTCATTTAATCTGAACTTTCATACAACAGATTGGACAGACTACAAAGTATAGATGCGGAATGATATTAAAATCAAATGCACATGTAAAGTCTGATTCTCCTTTAAAAATCTGCTAACAGTGCTATGAAATGTAGCAGTCTTAAATTTTTATAATTAAAGTTTTAATTGATTTGGAGAAGTTTAAGCCTAAAAACAATTGTCTTTAGTTGAGTTTTTTTAGTTGAAGCTAATAAAAATCAGGCAAAGCTAAATTGTAGAAGACATGCTTTTACTCAGCAAGGTATCCTGTGGATATTGTAGGCTTCAGTATCAGTTCCATAAAAGAAAATACTAAAAAAATGAAATACAACATATTTTATCTGCCTTCTACATAATTTGGTTGCATAGAAACAGAACTTTAAAAATTCTTTTCTCTAAATTGTTTTCCCTATTTGTTCAGTCAATCAAAAAACTAAACTGGGACCTGAGAGATCCGCCATCATCACCTACTGCTTGCAAAGTTTTTAGCTAAATTTTTTAAATAACATCAGTTAACTTTTTTCTTACAAACAGTTTTATGATTTTTATTTTTTGTGACATATTTTCGGCTGCACAGCGGACAGTGGGTAGCACTGATGCCTTGCAGCAAGAAGGTTCGGGGTTCAATTCCTGGCCCGGGGTCTTTCTTCATAGAGTTAAGATGTTCTCCCTGAGTATGTGTGGGTTCTCTCCGGGTACTCTGGCTTCCTTCCACAGTCCAAAAAACATGACTGTTAGGTTAACTGCTTTCTCTAAATTCTCCTGTGTGTGTGTGTGAATGGTTGTTAGTCCTGTTTGTCTCTGTGTTGCCCTCCACCCTGGACTAGCGACCTGTCCAGGGTGTACCCCGCCTCTTGCCCATTAACAGCTAGAGGTTGGCACCAGCATCCCTCACGACCCCAACAGGGATAAGCGTGACAGAAAATGGATATATAGTTTCCCATTTCTTTTCCACTCTTGTTTTTGTATATATATGAATCTCATGTTTGTTGATCTTCAGTTTCACTGTAATCACAACGGATACATTTGAATGCAGCTCAAAGTGCTTTAGATTATTCTTCTTTTGTTCGTTTTTATACCTGCACCAGTACATCTGTTCATTTTTTGGTGTATTTGTTTCCCTTCGCTGTATGCTGTCTATGTTACTTAATATTTATAGATATTTACATTATTTTTGCTTTAGCAAGACTTTTGGTAAAGCAAAAGACCTCTGTCTCTTCTCCTAAATGTAAAAAACGTTCTTTGAGTGAATAATCCATTAGTACGAGTTGAATGGTTTTATGAGACTATTACAAAAAAAAAAGAATTGATTGAAGGAAAAAAAAAAAAAAAAAAAAAAAAAAACAGAGCACCTAGGAAACTACTGACTATGATTGCTTTAAAATGTTTTTTTTTAGAAGTCAGCCTCCTTGGAAACACGGATCAGCTTAAACAGATTTCTTAAACATTGAAATACTATTCCTACATAATAAATATTTTGAAAATTTTAATACATACTTGTAGTATCTAAAATGCTTGCTGGTGTGGATTTGACCTCTTCCTGAACTGTGTATACTTTAAATGTGTAGTTGGTTCCAGGGGTCAGATTGTCGAAGGGGAAGGTCTCATTAGGTGTCGAGTAATTGGAAACTAGTCCGCTGTCATGAAATGCTTCAACCAGATAGGAGTAGGAAGCCTTGTGATCTGTTTGCCTGGTCCATGTCAGCTGGATGAACGTGGTGTTCACAAAGCTTGCATTCAGGTTGGTCACAGCTTTTGGCACTAATGCAGGAAAAGCAAAGAATTATAGTAGTTTAAAGGCAGAAGTAAACATTTTATCTGAAATCAGAGAGCAATAGTCCCCAAAATCCTTACTTGTGTAACTGGACACCTCCACTGGAGAAGATTCAGAATCTGAGTCAACAATTGTTCTGATGCTGATGTTGTAATTGGAACCTGGCTCCAGACCAAAAACATCATAACTGGTGTTTGTGGTATTCCCTATATCAGTGCAATTTCCCGAGCTTTCACAGGTCTCTACTGAGTAAAGATAGTAATCCTTTAAGCCGTCTGGGTGGGACCAGGTCACCCTTATGGAGGTTGTATTAATGGGTCTGGCCATTGCATTCTGCACTGGGTTAGGCACTGAACAAATAAAGAGGAAAAAAGAAACAGCATTTATTTAAATTTGAAATAAATGTGTAATTCTAAGGGTATAATTAAGTCCCTCAGAAAAAAACAACATATTTATTAAAATGCAATATTTACTCATACAACTGTATTGGTAAAGCTGGTGTATAATATAATACGGTACTCCTGATAATAATGGGAAGCTCTTATCTAACATAAATGAAATTTTTTCTTGACCATTCCAGTTCCAAACAGCTTTAACTGATATGAAACCAGAAAAAGTGACCCAAAGGAGACATTCTGGTCTTTTTTTATACCTTTTTTTTTTTTTTTTTACTTTGTAATCTACTTTAATAGCTGAGTTTCCTGTATTCCCTGAATTTGTTTTTAACCCACTGATGAACCTATGAACCTACAATTTACTAAAAAGCATTTACAATTCTAATCCTAACTTTTTAGTATTTGCACAATCTAAATTACACACATTATATTAGACGCGGATGGGTGAGCAAGAATAATTATTGTGGTATGACTTGGCTGCTAGAGTTTGCTTTGCTAATGGAAAGGATCCTACATCAGCACCTGCTGCTTACTGAAAGGATGTAAAAGACACAAGCTTTTCACATTCAATTTTTGTGCATTATATCTCAAGAGCTGGATATATCCTTCACTCCAGGTAACTATGCATAAGATCGCTGACCTAAGAAACTTACAAGTATAAGCAGAAAGAATGACAGGTATGCTTTTTCGCTCTTCTGGTCCAATGGTTGTTAAGTTTATGATGTATAAGGTTCCAGACTGAAGACCATCAATATTCTTCTCTGTGGAGCTCTGATTGATTTCATTCTTATCAACTTCTGAAGCCTGGTAGGTGATTAAATAGCTAATGCCAGGAGCATTATCCATATTTTTTGGAGGCAACCACTTCAACATCAAAGAAGAGTTTGTTTTGCTGATATTTGCATTCTGAGGGGGTGTAGGATCTAAAAAGTAAATATAGCACATATGCAAACAAATTAGGCACCAGTTGTTTGATATCAAAAATTTATATATATATATATATATATATATATATATGCACTTCGTCATCATAATTAATTAATTAATTGCATGAAATTAATTGAACCCGGTATGATGGAAAAGAAACATATCTAAAACATACAACACAGTGGGTCCTATGGACCGGGGTTGGAAACACTGTTTTTTTATTAAGCAACCTTTTAATACAATTGCATCTGCAAGTATAATTCACATCAATATCTATTCCATGCAGATGGCATATTTAGTAAATGTGATAACATGTCAAAGATATCTAACTTACATGTGGCAACTGGCAACTGGTCAGAGGTATTGTTGAAGTCTCCAGCTACAGAAGTGACTGTGATAATAAAGACTCTTCCAGGGTCTAAATCAGAGAAAGTTTCTACTGTGGTATTTGTTTCCTTGGACTTTTTATAGCCTGTGTCTCCATTTGAGATGTTCACTATATATTTGTCAACTCTTCCTTTAGGCAATGTCCAGCGGATGGTTATGTAGTTAACATGTATTGGTCCAGTCGTCAGGTTCTCAGGTTTTACAGGCCCTGTTAAGGGAAATATAACAATTTAGTGGATTAATACTCTTTTTTCATAATAACAGAACAGACAACAGCCTGTTCCTGTTAATGCAGTTGAAGAAAGTTTTGTCCATGTAAACAGGGGTCTGTCAAAGGACATCAGAGAGCACCCTGACTTTAAAAACACCATAAAAAGCTATAATTATAACACAAATGGTAACTAAAATAACGCTTAATTCAACCTCACTTATGTCTAAGAACAAGTTAAAAAGAGCTTTAGAAGAACTATTTTGTGATTGAAAGTTCTTTTTTTTTTTAGTTTTTGTGACACTAGTGGTTTGGTTTTTCGCCAGTAGGCTGACAGGAAAGGGGGTGTGAGAGAAGAGAGACATGCGGCAAAGGACCACAGGTCGGGTTTGAACCTGGGTCGGCCGCGTTGAAGACTAAGACCTTTGTACATAGGTCGTGTTTTATTTATTAAGTGACCGCCTGCACGCCCGTTATTGAAAGTTCAAAGGTAAAAATTAATTTAATACAAACTAACACCTTATTATAGGTAATAGGTAATTAGATATGGATATGGTTAATTTCACATATCTAAATGGAAGAGTGTTGCATCATGACTTTGATATCCTAAATGAGTGAAATATTATGTTTTACAATTACCCATTTTGTGAACCTCACCCATTAGTTCAAGCTACTTCTATTTAATTCAGTTTTCAATTCATTTGATTTATATAGCACATGTCATATTAAGGGACTTTAGAGACCATTAGTTGACTAAAACTCTGTAACTAAATTAAATAAAAAAACTCAATCCAGAAGGTAGAACGTTGAAACATCCAGTGTCCTCCATGTTTTTTTGTGTTCCAGTCATCAGAATCTGGTATGCAGGACCAAGGACACATCAAAGATCTATGTGATTTGGGTGTCAAAATCCTTGTAGATAAAAATATAGCTGGTTTATAGGTTCATTTGATCTGCAGACAACTTGTAGAATAAGATTACATAGGAAATACTTCCCATGAAAAAGAAAATGCTGTAGGACTAATAAGATCAGTTCACTAAGGTAGGCCTACTCTGCTGTGCTGTATAGCTCTGACTTCACATCATGGAAGGATATAAAAAGACACCTCTATGTATGTCTTTGCATATTTTCTCTTTTATCTCATTTATATTCCTGTTTCATGTTGGAATCCCTTTTAAAATGCAACATGCAAATGTTTTTATCTGTTTTATCTTTATCTTTTATCTTATCAGTACTTATTTATTTCATATTCCACACCAGGAATCAGATCATTGATATTTATCATTGTGTCATTCACAATTGATTCCAGTGTTTTATTTCTATCACTCCATTGTATATAATACAAGGAGCTATCTCCCTCTGGTTTACTCCATTTAAGAGACATAGAGGAAGTTGTAATTTCTGCGAAATTCAGAGTACGGACCACCTTTGGCTCTGTAAGTGAAAAATAGCAGTGTACTGAACAGAAAACATACATTGTCTTTGCATTCAGTTCAACTCAATAACAAAAAAAAATGGTCCCAAGGGGAATCAATTGTTGTTCAAACTCTCTTAGTAGTTTCTTTAATGAGTTGTTGTGAATTTTACTGGCGGTAGGCTGGAAGGATCTCCTGTGGCCTGTCTCCTAGTAGTGCCTCCAGCTTCTGAACACAACGCTGACAGACAACCCAAACCTTCATGCCACAGCTTGCACTGATGCGTCATCCTGGATGAGCGGCACCACTTGAGCCACATGATGGGTTGTATAGTCCATCTCATGCTACCACGAGTGTGAAAGCACCACCAACATTTAAAAGTGACCAAAACATCAGCCAGAAAGCATAGGCACTGAGAAGTGGTTGGTGGTCCCCACCTGCAGAACCACTCCTTTATTGAGTGTGTCTTGATAATTACCAATAATTTTCACCTATTGTCTAATCCATTTGCACACCAGCACTTGAAATTGATTTTAATCAGTGTTGCTTCCTAAAGTGCATAAAGTTTCACAACATATTATGGTGTAACATGTGTGGGCACTGAATAACACAATGCAGGAAAGACTTACTTGTGTACCGGGATACAGAAGCACTGGCTCCTTCAGTTTGATTATCAGCAGCTACAGCAGTGACATTTACGTCATACTTCACACCAGGAGTCAGGTTAGTAATATTAACTTCTGTTTCTGATGAATTCAGCATCTTAATCCCATCAATCCACTTTACTTTATAGTAGGAGCTGTTTCCCAAAGGTTTAGTCCAGATCAGAGATATAGAGTCAGTTGTGACTTCAGTCACATTAAGATTGCGGACAATCTCTGGTTCTGTGAGCAGCAACAGCAATGCATTAAAATGATACATTAATCATACTGTAAACTTTGAGACTAAGACAGAAGAGAGTTCATAAGTCATGCTGTGTTACTGAATTCAATCCAAACACAGATGGAAGGCATTTAGAATGAAAGTAAAGGGTATTTAAGAATAAAAGGACATCCAACAAATTTTAGAAGAAATAACAAATAATCAATTTTAGGAAGAAATGACCAAACAGGACACAAATAAGAGATGACTACTCGTAAACTAATGCGAAAACATGTGAAGAAAATGCTGTATGAACAGTGGAGGACTGGAGATTGCTAAGACTAAAGGCTAAGACTAATTTAGTATGCGAGTGTGTGTATAAATGGGTGAATACCTGAATGTGGTGTAAAGAGATTTGGTCAAGTCTCAAGTCTAAATTGAAAAAGCGCTATATAAGGCCATTTACCATTATAATGTTTATCATCTATATAAGAGAGAGTACTGGGTAATGAAAAGACCAAAAGACTGAATCCCTTTAGTCATAGTAAAGTAGGTCACTACAAATCTAATTAAAATAAAACAAAAAAAATCAAAGCACCTACTGTCTTTCTACTCATTAGTCATCAAGAATCAGTGTGTTGTCTTACTTGTGTAGCGGGATACAGAGGCAATGGATCCTTGAGTAAGCTTATCAGCAGCTACAGCAGTGACATTTATGTCATACTTCACACCAGCAGTCAGGTTAGTAATAGTAAGTTCTGTTTCAGCTGAATTCAACGTCTTATTCCCATCAATCCACTCTACTTTATAGAAGGAGCTGCTTCCCAAAGGTTCAGTCCAGCTCAGAGATATAGAGTCAGTAGTGACTTCAGTCACAGTAAGATTGCGGACCATCTCTGGTTCTTTATGTGAAAAATAAAAGTACTATTAAGGCATATATCCTAATATCATATATCTTATGACTTTAACAACAGAGAGCCTTATTGCTATATAGAGTTGTTACATGAACTAAGCTGGGGGTGGGGAATATTGAAAAACAACAATGACATAACTTAAAATTCTTTACATCATTACACCTACTGTTTATCTACTCATTAGTCATCAAGAATCAGTGTGTTGTCTTACTTGTGTAGGAAAATACAAAGACACTGGCTCCTTCAGTATGATAATCAGCAGCTACAGCAGTGACATTTATTTCATACTTTGTACCAGCAGTCAGGTTAGTGATAGTAAGTTCAGTTTCAGTTGAATTCAGCGTCTTATTCCCATTAATCCACTCTACTTTATAAAAGGAGCTGCTTCCCAAAGGTTTAGTCCATTTTAGAGATATAGAGTCAGTAGTGACTTCAGTCACAGTAAGATTGCGGACCATCTCTGGTTCTTTAAATGAAAAATAAAAGTAAATTCCTGGTATAAAGTTTAAGGCCTTAACAGCAAAGTCCTATTGCTACTTAATGCCATAAGCTCAATCCTTGCACAAGTTGAAGGTGGGCAGATAATGGTTACAGTATTTAGGAGTATAAAGACATCCAACAAAAGCAAAAACTAAACAAGGAAATAATCAAGGGAAAAATTATAGGACATAAAAACTGCCAGAAAACTAAATTGATATAAAAATAAGAAAAAAATATAAACTAACAAAACATCATACAAAGTATAAGAAACTGAGAACTGGACTGACTCACAAAAAACTGAAGTCCTAAAGATAATCGCACCTAATGCCTTTGAACATCTCAATTTTTAGGTATCAGTGTGTTTTCTTTATCTGATGTAGGAGAAACTTACTGATGTAGGAAAATACAGAAGCACTGGCTCCTTCAGTTTGATTATCAGCAGCTACAGCAGTGACATTTACGTCATACTTCACACCAGGAGTCAGGTTAGTAATATTAACTTCTGTTTCTGATGAATTCAGCATCTTAATCCCATCAATCCACTTTACTTTATAGTAGGAGCTGTTTCCCAAAGGTTTAGTCCAGATCAGAGATATAGAGTCAGTTGTGACTTCAGTCACATTAAGATTGCGGACAATCTCTGGTTCTGTGAGCAGCAACAGCAATGCATTAAAATGATACATTAATCATACTGTAAACTTTGAGACTAAGACAGAAGAGAGTTCATAAGTCATGCTGTGTTACTGAATTCAATCCAAACACAGATGGAAGGCATTTAGAATGAAAGTAAAGGGTATTTAAGAATAAAAGGACATCCAACAAATTTTAGAAGAAATAACAAATAATCAATTTTAGGAAGAAATGACCAAACAGAACACAAATAAGAGATGACTACTCGTAAACTAATGCGAAAACATGTGAAGAAAATGCTGTATGAACAGTGGAGGACTGGAGATTGCTAAGACTAAAGGCTAAGACTAATTTAGTATGCGAGTGTGTGTATAAATGGGTGAATAACTGAATGTGGTGTAAAGAGATTTGGTCAAGTCTCAAGTCTAAATTGAAAAAGCGCTATATAAGGCCATTTACCATTATAATGTTTATCATCTATATAAGAGAGAGTACTGGGTAATGAAAAGACCAAAAGACTGAATCCCTTTAGTCATAGTAAAGTAGGTCACTACAAATCTAATTAAAATAAAACAAAAAAAATCAAAGCACCTACTGTCTTTCTACTCATTAGTCATCAAGAATCAGTGTGTTGTCTTACTTGTGTAGCGGGATACAGAGGCAATGGATCCTTGAGTAAGATAATCAGCAGCTACAGCAGTGACATAAATGTCATACTTTGTACCAGCAGTCAGGTTAGTAATAGTAAGTTCTGTTTCAGCTGAATTCAACGTCTTATTCCCATCAATCCACTCTACTTTATAGAAGGAGCTGCTTCCCAAAGGTTCAGTCCAGCTCAGAGATATAGAGTCAGTAGTGACTTCAGTCACAGTAAGATTGCGGACCATCTCTGGTTCTTTATGTGAAAAATAAAAGTACTATTAAGGCATATATCCTAATATCATATATCTTATGACTTTAACAACAGAGAGCCTTATTGCTATATAGAGTTGTTACATGAACTAAGCTGGGGGTGGGGAATATTGAAAAACAACAATGACATAACTTAAAATTCTTTACATCATTACACCTACTGTTTATCTACTCATTAGTCATCAAGAATCAGTGTGTTGTCTTACTTGTGTAGGAAAATACAAAGACACTGGCTCCTTCAGTATGATAATCAGCAGCTACAGCAGTGACATTTATTTCATACTTTGTACCAGCAGTCAGGTTAGTGATAGTAAGTTCAGTTTCAGTTGAATTCAGCGTCTTATTCCCATTAATCCACTCTACTTTATAAAAGGAGCTGCTTCCCAAAGGTTTAGTCCATTTTAGAGATATAGAGTCAGTAGTGACTTCAGTCACAGTAAGATTGCGGACCATCTCTGGTTCTTTAAATGAAAAATAAAAGTAAATTCCTGGTATAAAGTTTAAGGCCTTAACAGCAAAGTCCTATTGCTACTTAATGCCATAAGCTCAATCCTTGCACAAGTTGAAGGTGGGCAGATAATGGTTACAGTATTTAGGAGTATAAAGACATCCAACAAAAGCAAAAACTAAACAAGGAAATAATCAAGGGAAAAATTATAGGACATAAAAACTGCCAGAAAACTAAATTGATATAAAAATAAGAAAAAAATATAAACTAACAAAACATCATACAAAGTATAAGAAACTGAGAACTGGACTGACTCACAAAAAACTGAAGTCCTAAAGATAATTGCACCTAATGCCTTTGAACATCTCAATTTTTAGGTATCAGTGTGTTTTCTTTATCTGATGTAGGAGAAACTTACTGATGTAGGAAAATACAGAAGCACTGGCTCCTTCAGTGCTATTATCAGCCGCTACAGCAGTGACATTTACGTCATACTTCACACCAGGAGTCAGGTTAGTAATATTAACTTCTGTTTCTGATGAATTCAGCATCTTAATCCCATCAATCCACTTTACTTTATAGTAGGAGCTGTTTCCCAAAGGTTTAGTCCAGATCAGAGATATAGAGTCAGTTGTGACTTCAGTCACATTAAGATTGCGGACAATCTCTGGTTCTGTGAGCAGTAACAGCAATGCATTAAAATGATACATTAATCATACTGTAAACTTTGAGACTAAGACAGAAGAGAGTTCATAAGTCATGCTGTGTTACTGAATTCAATCCAAACACAGATGGAAGGCATTTAGAATGAAAGTAAAGGGTATTTAAGAATAAAAGGACATCCAACAAATTTTAGAAGAAATAACAAATAATCAATTTTAGGAAGAAATGACCAAACAGGACACAAATAAGAGATGACTACTCGTAAACTAATGCGAAAACATGTGAAGAAAATGCTGTATGTACAGTGGAGGACTGGAGATTGCTAAGACTAAAGGCTAAGACTAATTTAGTATGCGAGTGTGTGTATAAATGGGTGAATACCTGAATGTGGTGTAAAGAGATTTGGTCAAGTCTCAAGTCTAAATTGAAAAAGCGCTATATAAGGCCATTTACCATTATAATGTTTATCATCTATATAAGAGAGAGTACTGGGTAATGAAAAGACCAAAAGACTGAATCCCTTTAGTCATAGTAAAGTAGGTCACTACAAATCTAATTAAAATAAAACAAAAAAAATCAAAGCACCTACTGTCTTTCTACTCATTAGTCATCAAGAATCAGTGTGTTGTCTTACTTGTGTAGCGGGATACAGAGGCAATGGATCCTTGAGTAAGATTATCAGCAGCTACAGCAGTGACATTTATGTCATACTTCACACCAGCAGTCAGGTTAGTAATAGTAAGTTCTGTTTCAGCTGAATTCAACGTCTTATTCCCATCAATCCACTCTACTTTATAGAAGGAGCTGCTTCCCAAAGGTTCAGTCCAGCTCAGAGATATAGAGTCAGTAGTGACTTCAGTCACAGAAAGATTGCAGACCATCTCTGGTTCTTTATGTGAAAAATACATGTAAATTCATGGTATAAAGTTTCAGGCCTTAACAGCAGAATCCTATTGCTACTTAATGACATAGAGCTCAACACTGACACAAGTTGAAGGTCTGCATATCATACGAAGGTTTGTTTAAGAGTATTAAGACATCCAACAAAAGCAAAAACTAAACAAGGAAAGAACCGGGTCAAAAACCAGTGAGACATAAAAAATGTCAGAAAACTAACAAAACATCAAAGTATAAGAAACAGAGAATTGTAGTGACTCACAAAAACTGAAGTCCTAAAGTTAATCGCACTTACTGTCTTTGCACATGTCCGTTTTTTTAGGTATCAGTGTGTTTTCTTTATCTGATGTAGGAGAAACTTACTTGTGTAGGAAGATACAAAGGCACTGGCTCCTTCAGAACGATTGTCAGCAGCTACAGCACTGACATTTATGTCATACTTCACACCAGCAGTCAGGTTAGTAATAGTAAGTTCTGTTTCAGTTGATTTCAGCGTATTATTCCCATCAATCCACTCTACTTTATAGAAGGAGCTGCTTCCCAAAGGTTTAGTCCATTTTAGAGATATTGAGTCAATAGTGACTTCAGTCACAGAAAGATTGCGGACCATCTCTGGTTCTTTAAATGAAAAATACATGTAAATTCATGGTATAAAGTTTCAGGCCTTAACAGCAGAATCCTATTGCTACTTAATGACATAGAGCTCAACACTGACACAAGTTGAAGGTCTGCATATCATACGAAGGTTTGTTTAAGAGTATTAAGACATCCAACAAAAGCAAAAACTAAACAAGGAAAGAACCGAGTCAAAAACCAGTGAGACATAAAAAATGTCAGAAAACTAACAAAACATCAAAGTATAAGAAACAGAGAATTGTAGTGACTCACAAAAACTGAAGTCCTAAAGTTAATCGCACTTACTGTCTTTGCACATGTCCGTTTTTTTAGGTATCAGTGTGTTTTCTTTATCTGATGTAGGAGAAACTTACTTGTGTAGGAAGATACAAAGGCACTGGCTCCTTCAGTATTATCAGCAGCTACAGCAGTGACATTTATGTCATACTTCACACCAGCAGTCAGGTTAGTAATAGTAAGTTCTGTTTCAGCTGATTTCAGCGTCTTATTCCCATCAATCCACTCTACTTTATAGAAGGAGCTGCTTCCCAAAGGTTTAGTCCATTTCAGAGATATAGAGTCAGTAGTGACTTCAGTCACAGAAAGATTGCGGACAATCTCTGGTTCTTTAAATGAAAAATACATGTAAATTCATGGTATAAAGTTTCAGGCCTTAAAAGCAGAATCCTATTGCTACTTAATGACATAAAGCTCAACACTAACACAAGTTGAAGGTCTGCATATCATACGGAGGTTTGTTTAAGAGTATTAAGACATCCAACAAAAGCAAAAACTAAACAAGGAAAGAACCGAGTCAAAAACCAGAGAGACATAAACAATGTCAGAAAACTAACAAAACATCAAACAAAGTATAAGAAACAGAATTGTAGTGACTCACAAAAACTGAAGTCCTAAAGTTAATCACACCTACTTTTTTTGCACATGTCAGTTGTTTTAGGTATCAGTGTGTTTTCTTTATCTGATGTAGGAGAAACTTACTTGTGTAGGAAGATACAAAGGCACTGGCTCCTTCAGTATTATCAGCAGCTACAGCAGTGACATTTATGTCATACTTCACACCAGCAGTCAGGTTAGTGATAGTAAGTTCTGTTTCAGTTGAATTTAGCGTATTATTCCCATCAATCCACTCTACTTTATAGTACGAGCTGCTTCCCAAAGGTTTAGTCCATTTCAGAGATATAGAGTCAGTAGCGACTTCAGTCACAGAAAGATTGCGGACCATCTCTGGTTCTTTAAATGAAAAATACATGTAAATTCATGGTATAAAGTTTCAGGCCTTAACAGCAGAGTCATATTGCTACTTAATGCCATTAAGCTCGACACTAACACAAGTTGAAGGTCTGCATATCATACGAAGGTTTGTTTAAGAGTATAAAGACATCCAACAAAAGCAAAAACTAAACAAGGAAAGAACCGAGTCAAAAACCAGTGAGACATAAACAATGTCAGAAAACTAACAAAACATCATACAAAGTATAAGAAACAGAGAATTGTAGTGACTCACAAAAACTGAAGTCCTAAAGTTAATCACACTTACTGTCTTTGCACATGTCTGTTTTTTTAGGTATCATTGTGTTTTCTTTATCTGATGTAGGAGAAACTTACTTGTGTAGGAAGATACAAAGACACTGGCTCCTTCAGTATTATCAGCAGCTACAGCAGTGACATTTATGTCATATTTTGTACCAGCAGTCAGGTTAGTAATAGTAAGTTCTGTTTCAGCTGATTTCAGCGTCTTATTCCCATCAATCAACTCTACTTTATAGAAGGAGCTGCTTCCCAAAGGTTTAGTCCATTTCAGAGATATTGAGTCAGTTGTGACTTCAGTCACAGAAAGATTGCGGACAATCTCTGGTTCTTTAAATGAGAAATAAAATTACATTAATGGTAGAAATCAATAAAACAGTTACGTTTTGAATTAAACATCATATTGCCATCAGTCCATTCCACTTCATAGAATGAGCTTTTTCCTAATGGTTTAATCCAGGTCAGAGATGTAGAATGATTTGACAAGTATTTAATCTGCAGAAACAGGCAAATAGAAAGGAATGAGAGTTGACAAGCATTACTGTGCCATTTACTGGCCAGGAGGATTTCAAATGGTTGCTATAACCTTTAAAATCTCATCACTACTTTCTTTTTTTAACATAAGTCTGTTTCTTTATCTCTGCAGACAGGCATCATAACTGGTAACGTTCTTTCCTACAGATATGATATTAAGTCTCCTTTGCTGCCAATATAATTGATCACTCTACAGAAAGAGATGAGGAAAGAAAGATGGTTGTTTCCTGGTTTAAAAAAAAATCATTTTTAAATTGAATGGTATTTCATTTTTAAATTCTATCCATCCATTCATCCACACATTCCATCCACCCAACCACCCATCCATCCATTCATTCCATCCATTCACTCCATCCATACACCCACCCATCCATCCATCCATACACCCACCCACCCACCCATCCATCCATCCATCCATCCATCCATCCATCCATCCATCCATCCATCCATCCATCCATCCATCCATACAGGTGCTGGTCATAAAATTAGAATATCATGAAAAAGTAGATTGATTTCAGTAATTCCATTTAAAAAGTGAAACTTGTATATTATATTCATACATTACATACAAACTCATATATTTCAGATGTTTATTTTGTTTAATTTTGATGATTACAAATGACAACAAATGAAAATCTCAAATTCATCATATCAGAAAATTAGAATATTACTGAAGACCAATAAAAACAAAGGATTTATAGAAATGTTGGCCAACTGAAAAGTATGAACATGAAAAGTATGAGCATGTACAGCACTCAGTATTTAGTTGGGCCTCCTTTGGCCTGTATTACTGCAGCAATGCGGCGTGGCATGGAGTCGATCAGTCTGTGGCACTGCTCAGGTGTTATGATAGCCCAGGTTGCTCTAATAGTGGCTTTTAGCTCTTCTGAATTGTTGGGTCTGGTGTATTGCATCTTCTTCTTCACAATACCCCATAGATTTTCTATGGGGTTAAGGTCAGGAGAGTTTGCTGGCCAATTAAGAACAGGGATACCATGGTCCTTCAACCAGGTACTGGTAGCTTTGGCACTGTGTGCAGGTGCCAAGTCCTGTTGGAAAATGAAATCTGCATCTCCAAAAAGTTGGTCAGCTGCAGGAAGCATGAAGTGCTCTAAAACTTCCTGGTATGTGGCTGCGTTGACCCTGGACCTCAGAAAACACAATGGACCAACACCAGCAGATGACATGGCACCCCAAACCATCACTGACTGTGGAAACTTTACACTGGACTTCAAGCAACGTGGATGAAGTGCCTCTCTTCTTTTCCTCCAGACTCTGGGACCTTGATTTCCAAAGGAAATACAAAATTTACTTTCATCAGAGAACATGACTTTGGACCACTCACCAGCAGTCCAGTCCTGTTTCTCTTTAGACGCTTCTGACGCTGTCTGTGGTTCAAGAGTGGCTTGACACAAGGAATGCGACAGTAGAAACCCATGTCTTTCATACGTCTGTGTGTGGTGGTTCTTGAAGCACTCACTCCAGCTGCAGTCCACTCTTTGTGAATCTCCCCCACATTTTTGAATGGGTTTTGTTTCACAATCCTCTCCAGGGTGCGGTTATCTCTCTTGCTTGTACACTTTTTTCGACCACATCTTTTCCTTCCCTTCGCCTCTCTATTAATGTGCTTGGACACTGAGCTCTGTGAACAGCCAGCCTCTTTAGCGATGACCTTTTGTGTCTTGCCCTCCTTGTGCAAGGTGTCGATGGTCGTCTTTTGGACAACTGTCAAGTCAGCAGTCTTCCCCATGATTGTGTAGCCTATAGAACTAGACTGAAAGACCATTTAAAGGCTTTTGCAGGTGGTTTGAGTTAATTAGCTGATTAGAGTGTGGCACCAGGGGCCATCAATTTTGAACCTTTTCACAATATTCTAATTTTCTGATATGATGAATTTGAGATTTTCATTTGTTGTCATTTGTAATCATCAAAATTAAACAAAATAAACATCTGAAATATATGAGTTTGTATGTAATGTATGAATATAATATACAAGTTTCACTTTTTAAATGGAATTACTGAAATCAATCTACTTTTTCATGATATTCTAATTTTATGACCAGCACCTGTATAGTTAATCTATAGTTACTGTATACTGCTTGCCAGATATCAGTTAAGTTGTGGTCAGAAATGTTCTAGATACATTTTTGTTATCCTTTTTTCTCCACCTGTCCATTGACCTCTATAGAAACAGCTGCTTCTTTGTGGTTAAGTCCATTTCACAAACACAGATAATGTGGTTTTATGAATGAAACCAATATCTGTGATTATATCAGGCTCTGTGAAATTAAAAAGATTACGATACACACCCCCTCGAAAAAAAAAGAAAAAGAACAATAACAACAAAAACAGTAAGCTCCTTAATCCAAATGATGATCTTACTTGTAAACTGACACACCATGCTCTGATCACTTTCCATTATTCCTCCAGCTACTGCTGTGACATTAAAACAGTAATGCTCCCCAGGATTCAGCTCATTAATGGTCACATGTGTCTCAGTTCTATTCAAGGTTTCAGTTTTCCACTTTACTCTAAAAACCAGCGATTCACCCGCTGGTTGTATATTCCAGTTCAGAGACACAGAGGTGGTTGTCACACCAGTGACATTAAGACCGACGACTGCTTCAGGTTCTGTTAGTAACAGACAGCAATGTAAGCAAGCAAATAGTCAATTGTTATGCAAATATCACCTTTCACATTATGACTTTGAAATGATATATTATCAGTCAAAAACAATATTCCATTGTATTCATATCTCGACTTCCTTGCACTCAGTTAAAAACAAATAAAAAGTTTGACTTACTTGTATAGATTTCCTTAGTGGCATGCTTTCCTTCTGTATGATCATGAGACGCAACTGCAGTTACATTTATGGTATACAGGGTCCCAGAATTTAGAGCTGTGATGATTTCTATGGTTTTATTCACAGTCTTATTTCTGACATCATTTCCATCGGTCCAGTATAATCTGTAGTGGGAATCCGCTGTTGGGCTCCAGCTCACTTTCACAGAGGATATTGTGATCTCTGACACTGTGAGATTCAACACTTCTTCAGGTCCTGTAAACCAAACACACTTATTAAACAAATAATTCTTAAGATTACAGATATAAAGCATCGTAGCAATATAGCACAATCTGCATTTGGGCTATGCACTCAGAATTATAGCATTGTTAAAAAAACAAACAAAAAAAAAAAAACAGTACATTTTAATTCTTTGCCTTCTTTATATCATGACACTTAGAAAATAATGCTTTACATACAAACTTTAAAATTTAACGTGATAAAGGTAGCATCAAATGTTAAAACACACCCCTATTCGTAGTTGGTTGAGCTGTACTAGTTGTAGTTGCAGTTGTTGTGGTTGTAGTTGCTGTGGTTGTAGTTTCAGTTGTTGTGGTTGAAGTTGCCGCTGCTGTGGTGGTAGTTGAGGCTATTGTGGTGGTGGTTCCTTCTGTAGATATTTTTTTAAGATAATAAAAGACAAAAGAGGAGTAGAAGAAGGGATGCATCCATTAAAAAAGCTCAACAGAATCACCTCAGCTATTGTCCTTGGTGATATGAATACAACTAATAAATTAAAACTTGATAATGTGTTTTATGGGAAATTTTCTTAAATTCATTTTCAAAGAAAATGGGAAAAAAAAATAAAAGCAAGACGTGTAAAAAAAATGTTCGCTTACCATTCTGTGAGTGAATGTTCTGTAATAAAAGACAGAAAACACATGTATTGAAGAAATTTAAACCAGGAGGGGGCAGCATTTAGCTATAGACAGACACCATCAATTTTTTACCTTTACAGAGAGCTACATAACTTTACAACTGATGAGGTAAATAATAAAAAATAAAAAAATTAAGAACTAACACAGATTAATTTATCAGTTTTTTCTTCATCACATTTTCTTAACTGTATATCCCCTACTTAAATATGAACACTCAAAGGGTCCTCAATATGTCTAAAACTCAGATCCAAAACACGCGGATAGTGACCTCCCTCAACTTTTCTGTTCTGATTTATTTGAAGGCATTACTTATTTACTCCTGTCTCAGTCTTTCTTGTATATTTATGGTATAAAATTGGACTTACTTAAACCCTACTCTTTATGGAGTGGTCTTTCAATCACAATGTATTTGGCATTACATTCCATATTTCATATTTTCAATCAAATATGACTAATTATGCTTCAGAACATTTGTAGAATTGTTTTGCATCAATTGCATTATGTAAAATCAACTTAATAATATATTTATTCATATTGGAAAAAAGAATATAATCAGGATAAAGACAAATTATTATTTTTTTATTTAAATCTTCATTTTGTTAAGTTGCAGCTGTTAGTGGTTAAATAAATATACCAATATGTGAAAAATACTTTAAAATAATTAATGTCAGCACAAAGAATACCAGGAATTCAAATTTCCATCCCACACATATTTATATACAGCAAGAATTTGGGATACATTTTTTTCTAGCATATTTCTGGTTATTAATTAGACTTTTTTTATTATTATTCTTGAACCTTTGTGAGGTTGACCATCACATTTTTCTATTTAAATCTTGGCACAATCTTAGTGGGAAAACTGGTATGTGCTGGTAATCAGTTACCTATAAATTAATCAAACATTACCTAGACTAAACCAGGAAACATTTCTAATTTGAAGAATATCTAGCACAGAGGTACACTTGTCTTTACAGTTTGATGTTTCTTTTAAAAAATAGATTTAGCAATTTAATTTAAATTAATAAATTAAGTTTATAGAATTACAGCTATAGCTTTTTTCTAAACAAAAATCCCAAAACAAATAATTTCAATCTTTCTTTGAGGCCAAAAATTCTATTTGTTATCTTAATAAATAATAATAAGAATAATAATAATTTAACTTTATTGATCTCACACTGGAGAAATTTACCTCTGCATTTAACCCATCCCCTTAGGCAGCAGTGGGCTGCCATTGTGCGACGCCCGGGGAGCAGTGTGGGGTTAAGGGTCATGCTCAGGGACCAAGAGTGCAGGCTGTGGAGATCAAACCGGGTACTTGCAACCTTCTCAGAGCACTGCTCTAACCACTAGGCCAACACTCCCCACACTTGTGTCACAGCTTTAAAACTGCAGCTTCGCACAACCCCGTTTTCAATTCACCTCTAGATTTACTCTGGTCTGAAGGAATAACACATTGGTCTGATTCAATATTACTTATTAGCTCAAATTCAAACAAGCCTTCTTGACTGTTTGCTCCTCAGCTGATCATTAAACACATGGCATCATCGCAAAAACCTGCATCATGCATCCCACACAAAGAATGCAAAGAAGGGTGAATGATTAGCCTACAGCACAGATAGATGTTATGGCATTAAAGTTAATACTTTTCAGTGAATAAGCTCATTTGGAAATATGCCAGCCTGAGAGATGATGTTTCATATTTCATAAAAAAAATGTAACAGTTGAGAGTTAAATTAAAATATTGCTGGTCATGCCTAAGCTGGATTAAAGTGTAAAAAACAGAAGTGACTAAAAAATACGCATAGACATAAATACACTATATTGCCAAAAGTATTTGCTCACCTGCCTTGACTCACATATGAGCTTAAGTGACATCCCGTTCCTAATCCATAGGGTTCAATATGACGTCGGTCCACCCTTTGCAGCTAGAACAGCTTCAACTCTTCTGGGAAGGCTGTCCACAAGGTTTAGGAGTGTGTTTATGGGAATTTTTGACCATTCTTCCAGAAGCGCATTTGTGAGGTCGCACACTGATGTTGGACGAGAAGGCCTGGCTCTCAGTCTCCGCTCTAATTCATCCCAAAGGTGTTCTATCGGGTTGAGGTCAGGACTCTGTGCAGGCCAGTCAAGTTCATCCACACCAGACTCTGTCATCCATGTCTTTATGGACCTTGCTTTGTGCACTGGTGCACAGTCATGTTGGAAGAGGAAGGGGCCAGCTCCAAACTGTTCCCACAAAGTTGGGAGCATGGAATTGTCCAAAATGTCTTGGTATGCTGAAGCATTCAGAGTTCCTTTCACTGGAACTAAGGGGCCAAGCCCAGCTCCTGAAAAACAACCTCACACCATAATCCCCCTCCACCAAACTTTACACTTGGCACAATGCAGTCAGACAAGTACCGTTCTCCTGGCAACCGCCAAACCCAGACCCGTCCATCAGATTGCCAGATGGAGAAGCGCGATTCGTCACTCCAGAGAACGCGTCTCCACTGCTCTAGAGTCCAGTGGCGGCGTGCTTTACACCACCGCATCCGACGCTTTGCATTGCACTTGGTGATGTATGGCTTGGATGCAGCTGCTCGACCATGGAAACCCATTCCATGAAGCTCTCTGCGCACTGTTCTTGAGCTAATCTGAAGGCCACATGAAGTTTGGAGGTCTGTAGTGATTGACTCTGCAGAAAGTTGGCGACCTCTTCGCACTATGCGCGTCAGCATCCGCTGACCCCGCTCCGTCAGTTTACGTGGCCTACCACTTCGTGGCTGAGTTGCTGTCGTTCCCAAACACTTCCATTTTCTTATAATACAGCTGACAGTTGACTGTGGAATATTTAGGAGCGAGGAAATTTCACGACTGGATTTGTTGCACAGGTGGCATCCTATCACAGTTCCACGCTGGAATTCACTGAGCTCCTGAGAGCGACCCATTCTTTCACAAATGTTTGTAAAAACAGTCTGCATGCCTAGGTGCTTGAATTTATACACCTGTGGCCATGGAAGTGATTGGAACACCTGATTCCAATAATTTGGATGGGTGAGCAAATACTTTTGGCAATATAGTGTATCTCAAACATGACCAGGAAACAGAACATATTTTTCTATTAATCCACTGCAACCGAAGCATACGAACAAAGGCAATTCTATTTTTTTTTCTCTTATTCCCCAAATGGAAAAAACTATCTCCTGTCTGACAATCAAAGTTTTCCCAATGTTTAATTACGTTTATTTGATCAGTGAACTATGAAACTAAATTCCTCTAACAACTTTCACCCTGAGAGGATGAAAAGCACATATGAGGAAGTATAGCTGTGGGGGACTGTACCTTTGCTGTTTGTTTGCCTTCAGCTGGTTAATGGAGATTAGAGATTTCTCTTTGGCTGTAGACATCTTTAAATGGTGGTAAGATAATGATCAACATCCCAGGGACAGTTTACACAGGTTCACAAGTTTGCTAATTTCATGCTTAAATTCCCCCCCAACTTAATCTATATATTTCATATTAATGCAAGTATAACCAGCTAATATTTTAATGAAAAAGTAATTCATTTTATTATACACTTAATACATCCTCATCTGTTATGATCCATATTTCAACAAAAGCAAATATCGTGCAATTTGGTCCGCTTTTTTTGGTTTCTTTAGTTATGTTTTTCTACAAATATCAACGACGCAGTGAGTCATGCAATGCGTCCCATGTGTTAAAGACTTCTAAAGGAAAGAATGAGCTGGAATAGCTATTTAAATTTTTTTTCTTTTCCATTTGCCAACAGAAGGATATAGGTCAACAAAATATGCGAAAGCAAAAGAAGATTATCATTACATAGTGTCAAAGCAAAAGGACAAAAACATTTGAAATGAAGCTTTATACGTCTGTAGTAAGTTGATGAGTTATTAAGAAGCAAGAAGGGATTTGACACTCATTTTGCAGTTGTCCCACAAATATCAATTGGAAGTGTAATGATAAATAAAGATAATTCTAATATAACCTCTATTGCAACTAACTTTAACATAACTGACAGCTGCATCTTAGCTTAACATTACAAAATTGCTGCTTTTTGCTGTCATTATTAATAGCTTAGAGAGTTAAACAGGACTTCTCTTTTGCTTAGCTTTGTATTCATGACAGTATAGTAAAATAGGCATCTTTGTATAATCAACCGGTTCTAAACATACCATGAGTAATACACTATCTATACTCAGTTGTTCTTCCTCATAGGAAGTATATGTGATCAGTTTTCGTTTGATTAACTATGTCTCCATCCTAAATAAAGCCATAAATTAAGCATTAGCTTTGTGTTCTTCATCCTTTTTTTAGTGGAATATATGCCTAACCAAATGTTTTTTTTTATTTTTATTTTTTTATAAGCTGTGTTTGTTTCTCGAATGGAGCTATGGATATTGCAATCAGTGGCACGTAAATATGACTCAGAAATGATGTATACTAAATTTAGTAAAGATGTGACTAATATTGCTGCAGGCCCTGAAAACATCCCAGGGCTAGTACTAAGAGACTGTCCACACCAGCTTTCTAAAGTGTTGGTAGACATCTTTAACTGCTCACTGTCACTGCCATCTATCCCAACCTGGTTAAAGTCCACGGTGACAGGCCGATCTATAGCCTTTGAGATGATAGTCTTAACCTAATCAAGGACTCCATCAATGTTGCTGTGGACCCACATCAGTATGCCTCCTGTACAGAAGGAACCGATCCATGCCACCTCATCACTGTGTGGTATGGCAGCTGCACTGCTGTTGAAAGGATGGCTCAGCAGACGGTTGTTAAGGCTGCTTAGAGGGCTGTAGGGAGCTGCCTTCCCCCCATCTTCGCCCTCTACACATCAATATGCAGAGGGAGGGGGCTCTGCACCATGATGGACTTCAGCCATCCTACATACAGACCGCTTCACCCTCTCGCCTCAGGCAGAAGGAGCATCCAGAGAAAGACCACCAGGTTAAGAAATGGGTTCAACCCTGCAGCTGT